GACCAGGATGTGAGACTTTAACAGAGCTGTAGATGTTGTCACAGAGCTGACTGGAGATTAGGCTACAGCACACTTCATCTTCAGAGATGATGATGAAGATCCTAGTCTGCTTCACTGACTCTTCTCCGGTGCTTCCTGCCTGGACGGAACCTCTCACCACTGCGTCAGTTTAAGGCTATTGTAACCAAAGCAAACGACTGTAGGACGTGTTTAATGTCAAAACGTCTCCACAATGAATGTGACCCGGAGCGACGCCGCTGCTGCTGCTGCTGCTCTCACTTCCTGTTGCTGTGGGCCAGGTCCCTGTCGACATCTTTAGAACTTCCTGCTGTTTCTCGTCCAGCGCAGCATGTGTGTGTATGTCTGTGTGTGTTCCTGGGACAGCTATACTTTTGGGGAAAGAATTAGGGTCAGATGAGAGTGAGGACAAGGATTAAGGTTAGACATATGTTGGTGAGAGTTATGATAAAGGACCAGAGAGTCAGGTCTGTGTAGGTGTGCTGGGTTCAGATATGTACCAGCATGTACACTCAGCAGTGACTGTAAGGGTAGAACTGTCTGTGTGTGTGTGTGTGTGTGTGTGTGTGTGGAGGGTCACTCCATAAATCAGGAGTCCCCCTCCCCTTCTCCCCCCCACTCTCAAACCCCCCTCTGGGCTGAATTTCATAACAAACACTCCTTCAGAATCACATAAAGTCTGTCTTTCTCCCAGATTCTGCGACCCTCACTATCTGCTCTCGTACTGACTCCATCGTCCTCTGTTCCTCTGAAGAGGTTTATTTATCCTCCACAAACTTCTGCCGGAGCCGGCGGACAGACTGTGGCCCCCGGGGATGAAAAGGCCTCTTTATGTGGCTAGCTTTCCCCCTCCCTCCCGGCTCGTTCTGGCCTCCCTGTAGAAACACACTTTCTTAGACAGCGAGGAGCTGAATGAAGAAGAGAGGAGAAGAAGAAGAAGAAGTTGTTGTAGTCCAGACTTGGGAGGTGTTTCCATGTCGAACCAGGTCACTGCAGTTATGAGGGACTCTTTAGACCAGAGGTCGGTGACCTCGTCTTCTCCACACACCAGTGTGTGTCAGACAGTGTTCTCAGGGACCGTCGTCAAGGTGGAAAAACCAGGAGAAAAAAAACCCTTTAGGTCTGATTTTAAAACGGGTCATCAAGGTCAAACTCAGAGAAACGGAGAGGGTTTGATGGATGAGAATCAGCTGTAAATCTATTTTTACTTTATTTTAAAGCTAAAGCCCGGTCGTCAAAGTTCTCCGAACATCTTGAACCGACTCTTCACATGTGTCTAAGAGTGTTTTTGATGTTGAGAGAATCAGGTGAAGTCTGGTTGAGAACTTCTGATCTAAAGACACAAAACATCAGATATTAGGGAAAATATTTTTTTCTATAAATCATAGCAGCGTTCAAGGAGCACATGCAGCTCTGACATCATGTGACCGAACATCAGTGACGGCTGCAGATGTGGAGCACACAGTCCACAGGCAGTTATTTAAAGATGAAAGAAGAGCAAAGTAAAACAGATGAGACCCTCAGTTAGACTTTTCACCAGGAGGAAGTACTTCCCTCAGTACTCCGGTGTATTCTTTCTTTGGTTTTAATACACATATACCAAGTCCTCAGTGTCTCTGCTCTCTGTGGAACCAAACAACAGTACCTGGACTATCCACCCTCACTGCCTCTGGTTCCTAATTTCAGTTTAAAAAGTCGTAACCCAAATAGTTCTACTTCCTGGTGCCTGCTACCTGGCACTGCTTCAGGTTCTGGTACCTTTAATTTCTAGCCACTGCAGCTTTTTGGAGTTTTCTGGAGATTGTGTGTTGTTTCCAGTAATAATTGGTGTGGTGGAAAAGTACACCTTCCCTGGTACAGTTCTTAATGGTACTAGTTCCTGTAATGAGGTGACCTGCCTGAAGGCCTGGAGACCGATTCTAGCTGAGCTCAGACTGAAACTATTTAACACCAGACAAAAAAAAAAAAACATGTCGTCAACCCCCCGCTTTAATCTAGACAATGACTGGTACCGTTCCTGCTACAGATCCTGGTCCTAGCCTTTTCTCCTGACATGTGTATGAAGGTGGTAGTGTTTTTGTCCCCCACATGCAGCTGCTCTCAACCTCTGGTCTATTCTCTGTATTCAAAGTGCAGACTGAAATGATTTTTTTTTTTAGCTAAGAAGTGTCTGGTGTCGAGGTGATCAAACCTGCGACCTGACGGTCGGCTGCTTTTCAGTCCCAACACAAAACCTCTCCCCAAAGTGGAGGGAAGCCTTTTCAAACGAACCCTCCTTTTATTCATAACAGCTTTTTATTTCCCTCCTCTGCATTTAAATCGACATTTCAAAGAGCAGCGTCTGACACCGACAACAGATACGCTCTCCCTCTCTCTCCCTCTCTCACCCACCGTGACCACAAAACAGAGAGAGATTGAGGAGGAGGGTGTTCTGCTCTTCCTCTGATTCAAAAAATCACTCATGGTCATGAGCGACCCAAACTGAGCTCTGTCTTTCTCTCTCTCACAGACCAAAGTCCAAAGACAAAATCAGTGATTCTCCAAATTGACCTCAAATACTACACACATACAGTATATTTATATATTTCCATATATATATATATAGTATTAGAACAGAGACCTTGTCCCTAACTGGGAGACACTGCTGCAGTTGTGCGTCACCGCTCAGACGCCATAAATCCAGAGTGAGCTACGAGTCTCTGGAGATCATTCTATCTCCCTCATAAAGTCCGAGTTCCCTGTGTTAAAGACCTGCCGATATTTTTATTCTTTTTCTTTCATGGTGGGTTATAAGTCATATACGCAGCAGAAACCATGGTTCCTGCTGCCTCTGGATTTATGCTCACAGCAAACTACACCTCTGTGATTTTCCTTCTATTTTTTTTTTTTTTGTGTGAATAGAACTTTTTGTTTTGGAGAGAGAGAGAGAGAGACTGACAGACTGAGTCACAGAACCTGCACAGTTTCACGTGTTAATGACTTCTAATCACCGCAGGAGAAAACCGTTGTGCTCCGTGAGTGTTTAATACTGGAGCTGTAATGATTTCAGGGTGAGCTACAACAGGAGGAGTTAATGACTGCTGCTGCTGCTGCTGCTGCTGCTGCTGCTGCTGCCGCCGCCGCCGCCGCGCCCTCCGCTCCCGTGCCCT